TTTGTGCATTGCTTGTATTAATTTCTGCTCTATGTATGTATGTATGTATGTAGTGTGCACAAATGTAGCCTGTCAAAATTGCATTTTACAGGGTATATTTTTGACAAGTACAGCAAAAGCAATGCCCTTACCCCCAGATGTTGACCTAGTGGGATTTGATCATTTTTTTGCACGTGGTCTCAAAATCCAGGTGAATACTAGACTATATATATATATATATATATATGATAATCCTCAATTTGGTCTAACATATTATTTAAGGCAATAAGAGGTTTTCAACCATAAAAGCCCACGCGCTAAATCTTTCAAACTCTATATGTTTATTGTATGCAGGCTAGTTTGAGTTAGAAATATAAAGTATGGGTTCTCAGTAATGAATTAATACTTAACTAGTTTCACTCTGAAGACGTTCATTCTTTACTAAATGACAGACTATCGATATTGCATCAATAAGCTTTCAAATCATTGTTGACAACATTTCAATAGCAAAACATCTTGATATAGTATTGCAATATTATCAATACAACATTCATCTTCTAACAAATGACAGACGTCATGCACAAAGAAACTCTATTTAAACAAGTGTATGAACGCACACAAAGGTGGAAATTAGATCAAAAGGTTACCTGCTGATTGCTTTTGTCAAACTATCACAAACCAAAGGGTATATATGTATTTGAACTTGTTGATGTCCAGATAGTGTTAAGAACAACTGGAAACAATTTGTAATATATTAATTACAATAAACTGCCTTTTCAAACGTTATACAATTAAAGACAATTATGGTACGATGGAAAAAAAGGCAATTAAACGGGTGATATTATAACCACAGAAGGGAATTGCATAGATAATATATATGGGCGAGAAGCTCTAGAATCTAGATATTAAGGAAACAACGAATTTACAGAAATTTAAAAAAAAAAAAAAAAGTAACGGAGTTTGAAATTACCACTTGAGAAACCGTAGCGGACAATGAACTGTACGAAATGAAACAATTACAGGCAGACTAACTCAGGAGTGACATCATGTTCAAAAGCTTTGGATGAAAACGTTGAAGCCTTGAAGCAAGAGGGATTATGACTAATTCGTTTGCACAGCAAGTGTGATATGATGATTTACATCGAATTTGGATCATCAGTGATACCATTTTCATATTTGATTCCACCACAATGTCGCCTCTGAATTGATGAGTAGGAATTTAACCAAATTGTAAACAATCTGGTTAAAGATGGAAACCCTAATAATTAATGGATTAAGCATATCTGGCTAAAGAGGAATAAATTTTTCGAGGCCAAAGTAAATGCGATCGTGGCGGTGAAGCCTATCTGTCATGACTAATTTCGAAATCGATTGAAGTGAAACCGACATTGCTCAAAACTTTGTTGTTTTTGATAATGTTCTTATTAGATGCGAAAGAGAGTCCGGTAATGCTGTTTTTGTAAGTTTTATGTTGTTTTCGGGTGATCAGTATTTTATTTTTCTTTTTAGTTTGGTTCTTTTTGTATTTATTTAAGGGCTTAAATGTCTCTTAGTAAGGGGGACACCCGATGCCCCATCAAACAAAACGGGGTTAAAAGGATGTGTTTGGTTTCTTCAGTGCCTTGACTATATTTAGTACCGTTTTATTAGTGAGTGTGTTCAACTAGTTTTAACTATTAGCGTTTGTTTTGACAGGATAGCCAGGTTGGAGTTCAGATTCTTTCCTTGTGAGATTTTGGAGCAAGTTTCAAGATGTTAATGGATATTAAAGAGGATGTTGTTGACAATATAAAAAGTACTTGATTTATGGATTTGAGTTGTAGCATGTGCAACGTTCTTTTTTCCTTAGCCTGAAGTTTTATCCCACGTAGTTTTCTTCATAAACATTTCTTACCAAGACCCACTGATAACAGTACTACAAGTATCAAGAAATTATCAATGAAAAGAAAGAAAGAAATGCAGAAATGGAAGAAGAAGGAAGAGAGAATTGTAGAGAGAGAGAGAGAGAGAGAGAGAGAGAGGGGATTATGAATTTCAATATATTTTCACTAACTGAATTGCAATGACAATTTACACACTTTATATAGCTCACTAACTATATCTTACACTGTAAGCTATTAGCCCTAACAAATCTAACTAACTGCCACATCAGCTAGATATCTAATTGTTTTGCCATATTAGCATAACTAGTCCTTGGACAATATTACCCTTCAATCAATATCAGTCAATATCCCTCTTCAATCTGAACTTTAGTTACCAAGTTTAAGCTTGTAACTATGTTTAACAAGGGAATGACCATTTAAACCCTTGGTTAATATATCTGCAGACTGATCTTTAGTACGTATGTAGCTAACATCCAAGTCACCTTGCTAGACACTCTCTCGAACAAAGTGGTAATCGGTATCCAAGTGCTTTATCCAAGAGTGGAACACCGAATTTGCACTCAATGCAATCGCAGACATATTGTCATAATGAATAACTGGAGATGTAGGCAGAAATAACTCCAAATCCTTCAAAATACTCCTATCCAGACTATATTAGCAGCAGTGTGCGCCAATGCTTTATATTCTGCCTCTGTAGAACTCCTAGATACTGAACTTTGTTTCTTTGATTGCCAAGATATGGGGTTGTTGCCAAGAAAGAAAATATATCCAGTCATAGACCTTCGAGTATTCAAGTTTGCAGCTCAATCCAAGTCTGAGAAGGCATTAAGAGTTGGTTCTGCATCCGATGAGTACACAATACCATACTTCGATGTCCCTTGAAGATACCTTAGTATTCTTTTCACAACTCCAAGATACTATTGGTGTTTTCATAAATTGGCACATTGAATTTACTGCAAATGCAATATCTGGCCTAGTGAAGGTCAAATATTGCAAGGATCCCACTATAGTTCTATAAAATGTAGGATCACTAAGAGGAATTCCTTCTATCACTAGCAGTGAATTGTGTGGTTTGCATGGTGTTGAAACAGGTTTGCAGGAATCCATACCAACTTTATGAATCTGAAGGCCCATAAAATAGGTGATTCATTTTATTGACAAAGATATCACCATTTAACTGATATGTAATCTAAAGGCCCAAAAAATAGGTAAGTTTTCCTAGATCCTTTAGATCAAATACCTCAGACAATTCATGAATAACCTGATGTACTTTAATAGAGTTGGAACCTATCAAGATGATATCATCAACATAAAGGAGAAGTATGATAATATCAGTCTCATCTTTCTTCATAAACAGGCTTGTATCAAACATAGAGGCGCATAATCCCATAGCACTCAAATAACATGTAAATTTCGAATTCCAAGCCCTTGGTGCTTGTTTCAAGCCATATAGGGATTTGATGAGTTTAAAAGCATGATTAGGATGTGTGGAATCAATAAAGCCCTGAGCTTGTTTCATATAAACTTCTTCCTGCAAATCACCATGTAGAAATGCATTCTTAATGTCAAACTGTTTTAATTCCCAATGATTCATTGTAGCTATTGTAAGAATAATTCGTACTGTGGTATGCCTAACAATTGGGCTAAATGTATTAGAATAATTAACTCCATACTCCTGAGAGAACCCTGGAGCAAGCAACCTAGCTTTGTACCTGGAAACATTGCCGTCAGGATTTTTTTTTTACCTTGTAAACCCATTTACTTCCAAATCGACCTATCAGTTGAAGGTGGCACTAATATCCAAGTACCTTGTGCCCTGAGAGAATCATATTCTTCTTGCATAGCATTCTACCAATGTGGTACATTTGCAGCTTTTCAAAAACTAGATGGTTATATGGTATTAGAAATCTCAGTGACAAATGAATAACCACCAGAAAATTGGTCATCTTCAGTAAGTTTTAAAGTTTTCAACTCTGGAAAAGTTGCCATATAAGCAACATAATTCTGTCTTTCAATAGCCCCACTTTTCAACCTTGTAACCATAGAGTGATGAGGAATTGGATCTGTAGTTGATGCATGAGTTTCAGAAATTTCATTCAACTGAGGTGAGAATGGAAAAATTACCTTTAATTGAGAACTGTGATGGACATGCATCAAAGGTGATTCATTTATTGTAGGAGTATAGTGATGGTGATGAGAAGTTAATGTTGAATATGGTTGCTGTGTATTTGAATCACTGATAGGTGAAACTGCCACATTCCCAATTTCAAATTATTGCTGCATATGTGAAGATTGTTGCTGAGAAATAGTCTCTATTAAAGATTCACTATGTAATTCTTGAATTGGACCACTGTTTGATTATGGTACTTGATTTTGAATTGCAGGAATTGCATTTGAATCACAACAGTATTAACTCTTGCATTCTGTGACTGTGTAGAGAGATTAGAATCTTGAACTAATGCAGTTCTATATGGAAACTCATCTTCATTATGAACTACATGTCTTGACAGAATCAACCTTTTACTTTCCAAATCATAACAAATAGCTCCTTTATATCCCAAAGCTTAACCAAGGAAAACACATTTGGAAGATCTAGCTTGAAGCTTATTCGCAGTGTATGGTCTTCATAAGAGGATAAATAGCAGTTCCAAAAACTTTGAAATTATGAATCTCTGAGATTTTACCAAATAAGAGCTGATATGGAGATTTCAAATCCAAGCATTTAGATGACATTTTATTGATTAGTAATACTGCATGAGAGCAAGCATGATACCAAAAACTTCGTGGCAAGCTTGCCTCAATCAATACGGTAATTGCAGTCTTTATGACATGTCTATGTCTCCTTTCAGCAATACCATTTTGTTGAGGAGTATATGGGTATGAAACCATGTGTGTAATACCCTTTCCTGCTAAGAATTCCTTAAACTCTCTGCTCATATATTCACCTTCTCCATTAGATTGAAAACTTTTAATTGAAGCATTAAACTGAGTAAACACAAATGCTACAAACTTAACAAAGATTGGAAAGGCATCTGATTTATTGATCATAGGAAATATCCACATGTATCGTGAAAATTCATCTACAAATGTGATGTAGTATTTATACCCTTCTACATACTGTGTTGGAAATGGTCCCCATACATCAGAGTGGACTTTCTCAAACATAAAACTGGCTCTATTACATCTAACTGGAAACACTTGTCTACACATCTTCCCTTTAATACAAGAGGAACATATAGTTTAACATGAATCTTTATTAATTGGAATATCAGCACTTTTCAGCATTGAAACCAACACTTCCTCAAATGGATGGCCTGGCCGTTTATGCCACACTGCAGTCTTCACTTTCTGACCCAAGAATGCAGCACATCTACTCTAGCTTACAACAAAGGAATTAGCAAATACATTGACTGGAATCTTCAAAAGTTCACCACAATCACTATTTCCTGGGTACAAAATCATCTTGTTGCCTTTTCCTGTATAAAGAAATTCACATCATCACAAATAAACCAGCATCCATTATCTTTGCAAAATTTCTTAACAAAAAGAAGATTCACAGTTATTTGAGGCAGATGCAGAACATTATGCAAGATTAAGGCATTAGAAAGAGTAATAATGAAAGTACAACCAACATTCTTGACTGCCAAACCTTCACCTTTTCCAATTGTAATTTTCTCATCTCTATAGTAAGGATTGACTTGAGATAAGGCATTGACATTTGCTATCATATGGTGTGTAGCATCAGTGTCTAAGATCCATGCATCACCATTAGAAAAGTCATGGCCATTGTATTGTGGTGGACCTTGACCAATGTGAGCCTGTGCAGTCATTGCAGTTAGAAATGGTGGTGGACGACTTCCCTGGTAAGTGAAATTATTTTGATGGCAGCATTCAAGAGCAATATGCCCAATTTTTCCACAAATCTAACAGATGATGAACCTTGTGTTTCCAGTATCAGTTCTATGATAGCAATTGGCAGCAGTGTGTCCTCTTCTAGAACATATCTGACACTCAGGTGAAATACCAGACCTATAATTCGTATTACCATTCTAATTGTTACCCTTCTGAACCCATTTCCAGAGAAATTACCATTTTGTGACTGTAGACTCTTCCTATTCCTAGAAAAATTACCATTAGTGTTCCCATTACCACTCCTATTACTAAAGTTGCTCGAAAAAGGTCTTGAATTGTTGTTATTGCTCCCAGTATTCTTCTTGTTACCTTCAGAGAAATTAGGCTTGTGAAAAGACTTGCTTGCATTCCCCATGAAACTAGAACCACCATGAAACCCAAATTGATAACCATGTGATTGCTCTCCTTCATAACCATATTAGGATTATTTGAGAATTAGAACTCTCACCAGTTTCAAAGCCATTCTAACCTCTTTTGTAACTCATGTCTTTGTATGGATCACAAATTTTGGAGGACATGGAGCATCTCTAGTGAAATGATAAAAAAGATCATAACCTTTAAGGACCGATTGAAATTAAAAACTCCATTTAACAAAATTATCATCTTGTAATCGCACTATGAGCATGCCAAGTAATCTTTCAATCTTTACAGTATAATCTATCATTTGAATACAATCGCAACTAGTTTTGATCACACAATACTTGCTCTTCACACAAAACTATGTTCTTGAATATCAAGAACCCAATTACAAATTTCTTAAGAAATCACTCTCTGGCTATCGACCTTTTTCAAGTAAAAATTTGACAACCTTTAACAATTCTTATACAACTTTAACAATTTTGGCTATTGGCCTTGTAATCTTTCATAAAATGGTTATCGACCTTTTAATCTTGAATACAAATGACAGAAATTTGATGCTGAAGCATTCAAGCAAATAGTTGGTGTGCACAGAAAAATCAGAAACACAACCTGATATACATTGCAATCTTGATCATAAGCGATGAAAACCTTTAATCAACCAGTAAAGATCATTCGATCGACCAAAAGGAATTGCACAGCGGAATTGGCACCGAAGATCGACGGGCGAGTGATACCATGATAACAGAACTACAAGCATCAAGAAATTATCAACAAAAAGAAAGAAAGAAGTGCAGAAATGGAAGAAGAAGGAATAGAGAATTAGAGAGAAAAAAAGAGAGAGGACTATGAATTTCAGTGTATTTTCACTAACTGAATTGCAATGACAGTTTACACACTTTATATAGCCCACTAGCTATCTTACACTGTAAGATATTAGCCCTTCAGTTTACACACTTTATATAGCCCACTAGCTATCTTACACTGTAAGATATTAGCCCCAACAACTCTAACTAACTGCCATATCAGCTAAATATTTAACTGTTTTGCCATATCAGCATAACTAGTCTTTGGAAAATACTACCCTTCAATCTATATCAGTCAATACCCACATTGTTAGAGTTTAACACTAAGCACGCCAACTCTCATGTTTTTTGTTGCTTTTGTGTGTGTGTGTGTGTGTGTACATATTTTTAAAGATACGATAGTGTACTATTCATGAAAGGAAAGGTTGAACCCAAGAAGGTTCAAGCCATATAATACATCAAGGATTACAAAGTAATACAAGACATTACAAGCAATCTTCAGTGAGGATGCCCAAAATGAAGTTAGTAGGAGTCCCCAACCAATCACAATGGCTGCCAATTGATAGGCTGTAACAAGTAAGCCAGTGAGTTACTGGCTTCGCGGCAGACATGAGGTATCTCAATCTTCAGTGAAAGGAGAGAAAAGCTTTCTTATCCTCCATAATTTGGCCAAGCACTGACCAGTTCAGGGAGGGATACGAGGGCGCCCCACCCCAACAATATGAAAAGAATCGCCTTCGAGTTGTAAATTTTTAAAACACCTTGTCACAGCCCAAACCATATATTATCTTGCAGCCAAAGCTTCAGCGTGGGAGAGGAGATGTCAAGAAAGTTCATGCATGCAACTGCCACAAAGATGCTAGCGTCGTCTGTGACCATACCCACTCCTCCCAAATTCCTATCATGATCCCAAGCCCTGTCAAAATTGAGTTTCAATTAAGCCGTCTTGATGGAAGGGACGACCATTTGGGAGTTTAGGGGCCGTTGACCATGGAGTGAGATGGTGGAGCATTGACTCTAATGGATTCCTGCAACCATGCAAGCATCTTTGCTACAACTAAGTCTGGAGTATCACAATGAAGTGTTCATGCTTTGCATCTCTTTTGCATTGTATGCACCTTGATGGTGATAATATAATGTGTCCTTTTTTTTTTTAAGATGCAGCTTTGAGTTCCTGATATTCATGTTTAGATAGTACATGACTGTTGTACTATCTTTTATGGACTAACAAAATAGTATATTCAAGTAAAAAAAAAAGAATGGTTGAAGACAAGAGTGTTCGGGCAAAGATTTCTCTAGAGAAGCATCCTCGGACCTCAGCACAGCTCCCCAAGGGATTGGCACTTTGGATGTGTAGTCGGGCTCTTGCTTGTTGATATACTACAAGAAGAGGACAAAGTTAGTTCTGAAATGTGCCTTTGTGGGGCCTTAGATGTAGGCCTTAAGGCTCGCAATCAAAACTAACTAAGTGCTAGGCGTGCCACTACTATCTCAGTATAGCAGATGTAGAACAATAATGTTTTTAGTTGATTACTTGCGCCCCAAGTTACTCAGACTTCTTGTTATCAAAGGATTGTTGTGGATGGATTAACTCCACATTAAGTTCTTTTTCTTACCTTATAAACAAGGACTTTTAGTTCATAGTCTTGTATGTTCAAATGAAGGGAGTCCATGCCCTTTAAGCCGTTTACTTGGTTCTTGATTGACTTTAATGATAACATATCCATTAAACTAACGAGATCCAGATGCAAATGAGACTCTTAAAATAGGAAACTGATGGAAATAACTTGAATACATATTGAGAATGCATTAAGTAATAGATCTACAAATTTAGAAAACAAACAAAGAGCGTCGGGCAAGATTTCACCTTATCTGTGAAGGTTGAACCTCTTGCAATCACTTCTCTTTGAATTAACATGGGTTTATATGCTAAAAAGGAATGGATGGTAAACAAGTTTACACAAGGGAATCGATACTAAACTACTAAGGGAGATAACAAAGCTTTAAACTGGACAAAAAATAACTTGTCGCTAAAAAAGACTCAATCTGGGTTGATTTCAGCTTTTGAATGCAAATCTGGCTTGAGAGCAGAGTTTGTATGTTTGTTTGTTTGATTGGTTTGTGTCCTTGTCTTTGAGGCCGCTTCCTCATTTTATAAGCCAATTAGCCCGACTGCCGTGACTTTGCTCTTGCCTGAAGCATCTGAAGGGTAGTGAGTCATCAACCTTTTTACTTGTAATGCCACTAGAAAGTGTTCTTTGGCTGGTAGTAGGTTAGTCTTCATCACTTGTCTCTTAATGGTAAGAACATGGCTTGTATCTTGGCTGAAAAGGCTTCACTTTGCATTTGGCCTTGGTGTTGGGCTTCGGGCAAGTCCTCTTTTAGTTGGCATCTTTAGGCTTTCCTTCATCTAGGTTCAATGTTCAAATATTAACCCAAACAATGCCCCATTTAATGATTGTTGAGTTGTCTGCAACCTAAGACCCTAATAATGATTAAATAGTCGTCGCATTCATTTACTCGGGACTTGCACCATTTAAAGCAGTCGTTGGTTAACTAAAACCCTTGCACTAACTCACGAATTCTATCATTAATTAACCACTTACTATATAATCCTCACTTAAACTCATCAGCAAAGTACCTTAGCCATTTCGAGCCTTCAAATTCCCATAACTTCCCAGAACTCTCAGAGCCTTCAGACTTTTCAAAAACTTTTTCGTTCTTCAGTCATTGCCCCCTAATTCTGATTTTCTTCCTATCTTCTTCTCAAAATCATCCAATGGCACCCAAAGTTGCTCGAACTCAATCTCCCTACGAGACTGGTAAAGGGATTTCCACCATGCGCCGATTGCTCAACGACCTTCATTGCCCTCAAGCAGGCCTACATACTGAACTTTTCTTCGATGAGGGAAGAGTACATTTCTTAGGGCCTGCATGGACTTCTCAGGTTCCTGTAGTTGTAGAAAACAATATGCCCAAGGAGAATTGGTATACCCCCAACCTATTTCAGGCTAAGTCGGACATTTCATCTTCTAAATGGTCAAACCACCGTCGCAGCTTCCCACTTATGAAGGATGAGGCATGGACACAATGGACAAACGAACTCGAGCCCATCTTTAAAAGGAAATGGATGAACAACAAAATTTATGAGCTAATAATGTTGTCCAAGTCAACTGTGATTCCTATGCCCAAGCTACTCATTATGGCTCTTCTCTTTTGGAACTCGGGCACCAATACCTTCGACTTTAGGATGGGCCCTATATCCCCGACCATCCTTGATATGGCGTAGGTTTTCAGGCTAAGGCCCTCGGCCAGGGTCGTAGATATTACCCATGATTGGGCTCCTCATTCTCGCCCGACCGTTAAAAGCTCGGGTAGCTCTACTCCCTTTCTTGAAATGGAGTATAACTTCTTAACTTTCAAGAGCTACGGGACTTATTTATAGGCTTCATCCCATTTGCCAAGAAGGAATTTGGCCCCACTTCCTCCAACGCCAACAGAGATAAGGAGCACATGTATTTTCTCCTCTACTAGCTCAACAAACACGTCTTCCCCAATAAATCTAAAAGAGTGAAAGTGGAATGTATTCCTCTAGTAGAATTTCTTCACAACTTTGACGATGCAACCACGGGCCCCTTCCTCCTTGCTCATCTCTATCATCTCCTGTATGAGATTACCAAGGATGAATCATTTGAAACCAACCTTAATGGTCTAACTTGGATGATCCAGCTTTGGCTTCAATGGTATTTCCCCGAGCTTCTGGCTCCCAAGCTTGAAGTTCCAGAAGAAGTGGCCCATGTCCAAATATTCGTTGAGGCCTCTCCCACCAATCATTCCACATTCTGCTGTCTCTACTTCTTTAAAGTCTGCAGGAGTCGGGCTAACCTAGAATGGGGAGCGTCAGTGCTGAGGAGATATCCTTGGTTCTCTGACCAAGCTTTCCAAGTTGTTTTTGGAGAAGATGCTAGCCCCTTCTGTAGAGAGAGATTTATCAGATGCATACAATTAAGAAACCTAGCTTGGGGAGTAAGGTGACACATCCCGACCCCGATATTCTCTGAATACCCGGATAGGCACGTGCTGACAGACACCTAAGGGTGACGAAAGCCATTTATTGATTACAAGAGTAATGATTAGGAGAAAATATTCATGAATAATCATTAGAATCTAAGAGTAATAAACAAAGTTTAAGGAAGGGTCTAGAGTGCACATAACACAATCTAAAACAAGATCACAAAAGGAAAGATCATTACAGGATATCACACAAGTGGGTGATAGATTGCTACTAGTAGGGGAATGCCTCGTACGTCGTGTCATAGTCCTTGTTTCTAAGACTTGAATGGGGGCGCAAAACAAAGGTGAGTGGACCAAGTTTATATATACAATAATAATAAAATAGTCATCAAGATACTAACCCCCATAATTTATATAAAGAAAACGACTAGCATAATAAGTGATGGTTTTACTGAAAACCCTAGCATGCCAAAAATATCTCAAGAGGCATATCGTGAAACACAAAATATCAAACGTCTCATAAATCATCTCGTAGCGTGATGTACTACTAGTAAGATCATTGAATAAATATATATCTCTCGGCCCTATACCAGCACCATGGTCTATGCGCCCGTAGCTAGAGATTACCAACTCCCAGCCCAATGCCTGCTCCGTGTCCCTCAGCCCGTAGCTAGGGATTATTTCTCCCGACCTATCTACCAACAACAGATCCTCACCCCAGGCGGCATAGTGTCTACTAGGTAGGCACAAATAGTTACGCCTTTCATAAATAACCACTTCATAGTATAAAGTCATCCATCGTCTATACTATAAAGAGGGGTTTCTAAAACATGTTCTAGCATCCTATCGTCATCCAGCAGATAGTCTACCAGTTCATGGTTTTTATAGAAAATACGATATATATTAAAATATAGCTCAATATAGGCCAACAATTAATTCCTCACCAAAAACGAGACGATAAACAACATATTTCATAAACATGCTTAATATAAAAATCAATTCATAAGTTCGTAAGGAATGCATTTTATTTATGCAATTAAACTATGAAATTATGCAAATTTTAGAAAGGGTTTACTCACAGATACTCCTTAGCAGTAGAGTTGTGCGGATAAGGATTACGAATTCCCTCACTAGCAACTTCACCTAAGCACAAAAATGTAATAAATAAATAAAAGGATTTTCTAAAGGATTTAGGTTGAATGGGTTAATGTCTAATGGGTTTAGGTAAAGGGTTTTGGTTTTGGATAGGAATAAATGGGTGGTTTGG